TAATAGTAGTGGAACTTTACACCAAATTTGTTCTTTTGATATGAATTATCTCCTTGATCACTTATATTACTCCAAACGTCTGACTATATTTTTTTAACTGAAATTTAATTAGTACAGATCCAGAATAGTTATTAGGCTTTGAAGTTTTTAACAAAATTTTAGATTAGTTTTTAGTCAGTATTACTGAGATTTATTGGAATACCCTCTAGTGACGGAACTAAAGATTCAAGCTCTTTAATAAGCACCATAAACCTCTATTCTCTCTTTTTTTTTTAGGAAATTACATGGCATGCCATCAAAATCCGAAATATATGTTACTCAAGAAAAATAGATTATATATTTTCAAGTGAATTGAATAGTATAGATCTTAAATTTATACTACTAGTGACATAAATGTAAAGATAACAAAATCTGAGCGGCATTTCGAGATTTTTTCCCTTTTTTTACTTTATATATTAATAATTTTATGAGGCAGCATTTTAAGAAAATGGTACAACAATAAAAATAAAAATAAAAGAATAATGGACACAACATTCTTAATTTTCTCATGTCTAGCCATTACATTTTAGGATCACTTAACAGAATTTTTTGAAAAAAAAAAAAGAGCGGACATTTGCATTGCTCTGCAAGAAAAGCTCAAATCGCATCAAACAGTCAATTTATTTGAGAAAGGCGGTAATAAACATGCATCAGACCTAATAAAAAATAAGTCTTCAAGGCGTGTGAAAACTCACACACACACACAAACCTGACTTTTTTTCTCTCGAAAAAGTTAAATTCTATAACTAGCAAATCAAGATAATGTTATGCCAAACTCAAAGAAAGTAATTAAATAACAAGATGACTCTCTATAGTACTATTTATATATATAGTGAGTGATTTAACTGCATGATGTAGTTATAACCTAAATTCAGTTTAAGATCTACCAAAGTTTTTGTAAATTTTGTTAAGTTGTGAAGTCTAATTATTATCTTGACGTATAAATTCATGAATTTCATTAAGGGTTCTTTGGTAATTTATACTTATAAATTCAATTGTTTTTGTCTTCTTTTTGCGTAATGAGGACGCCATTTTAGAGTTATTATTGAGGACGTTAGAGAAACAAAGAGAGTTGAGAAGTGTGACGTGTCTTTTGTAAATTTTATCATCGTGAATTTTTACAACGATTGAAAGTGAACAAAACCCTCACATTGAGAGTGAATCCTTATAAATATTAATATGTGCTCTTGTTTTTATTTATTTATTTATTTATTTTACAATTTTATTGCTCTCAATGTTATAGAAGTAGGTATTGAATTCTTAACATTGCAGCTCAGCTTTCTTTATAATTAGTACTTAAAGTTTGAGCCGTCACCTACAAGTATTATGCTTCCACAATAAAACAAATATAACATATTGTCGTTCTAATAATATAAACAATAATGCAAAGTTTCAAATTGATATGCGACAAGAAATTTGATTTATCAAATGGAATCCTTGTATTCTAAGAAACAAACATGTTACACGTCAGAGACAAGTGACTATCACATTAATTATCATCTTCACTCTTTCAGTAAAATAAATTGGACAGGATCTACTCTATTTTACAATTCAATTCACAATAGACAAAACACTTATGTTTCAACTTGCTAAGATATTTATTTCCACTCTTGCACTCTTTTTGCAAACAGAAAATTGAAAAGTCTCTCAATATCAACACATCTCTTTAACCAAATCAAGACAAAACGTTTCATAATTGGATCCTCTACCAATCTAGAAATTGTTAGAGAGAACCTGAAGACGACACACTAATTGATAGGGTTAGATCCACTACGTACGTACGTCAACATTTAATATGGGATCGGCAAGCTTCCAAAAGAAGAGATATATTACACAATATACATGGACGAATTTTTAATGATTACGTTCTCATTAGTGATTATTTAATAATTATAAAAATTTAATGATGTGATGTGATAAGAATTTAATTTCATTAATTATTATATTTTTTTTATCAACTATCTAATTTATTATAACCATCAAATTAATATCACACAATTAAAATAATAATACTCACCGATAAATAATTATTAGAGTAACTATTAAAGCTACGTTAATATATAATATATATACGTGTATACATATATAGGTGATTGATATCCTATAGCGAGTACATGCACAGTGGTACAAATGACGTGCATGTCTCTAAATAAAGGCAGTGATAGATAAGGGGAAAGCAGAGACTTGTCCAGAGAAATGGGAACACTCAAAATTAGAGTGCCAATGGAGGCAAGGCAAAGAATCACTATATATTAGACACAAGCAAGAAAAAACAATAAAGTCCCTCAATTCCCCCTCTGTGTTGCAGGAATTGAAGATTTTGTTTTGGCGGTGGTTGGGAGGGCAAGAGATGTTTTTCCCATACCCTCTTAGATTCTTATCCATAATATTATAATGGAATTGATACACTAAGGCAAAAGGCCACTAAATCACAATCACCTTTTGTATACTCCTTTGCATTACTGTCTTTATGATCATATAGATATATGTAGTGTATATGTGCGTATGTGTGTATCTCATGATGTGCATGGAAATGATCACATCTCTTTTTTACTGGACTCGGGAATTAAATATAAGGAAAGAACATGTAGGTAGGACTTGGAATTTTGAACAATCCTAAATTCCAAGAGCTACCTTTAATTAATTTGTTAATTTATCCTTCTTTTCAATCTTCTTTTTTAACAGGGAAATTAATTGTTTTATTTGACTGGGGGATAGTTAGAGGAATAAAAGAATTGGGGAGTGGGGAAGAGACACATATGGTTGTTGCATGACATCAACTCCAATGACAGCTTCAGAGCAGACAAGCTTGGAGAATGGGGAGAACAAAAAAAGAAATAACATTACTAAACAACATGTAAAAAGTATTTTAAAATTTAAGATCCTTCCAAATGAGATAAAGAGCACACATATTAAACAAAATGGGGCATGTTCCATTGGGTCAGGAAGATCTCAGGCAGGATCTCCTGGGCTTATAAAAAGAAAAGGGTCAAAGAAAGATGCATATATACATACAATACATATATATATATATACACACAATACATATATATATATACATATATATATACACACACATATATATGTGCAATATCCCAGCACTACGTTTGGCATTTCCTCACTCATCTCTGTAGTGCTGATTAGACATTTAGACTGCCCATAACACTTTTTTCGTCATCCTTGTCTCATTTTCTTTCTTGTGCCTAAAATTTAAGTTATGAGAATTGAGAAGCTTAGAAAAATCGGGAATAATGGCGCCCTTGTCTGATCCTTAGGGACATGAAGGTCTTGTCCTTATTAGTGTCTTTAAGCCTTTTTCTCTAAGATTTGGCTCTATACATACATACATTTTATTTATATACATACATATTATATATATATCAAGGTTTTTGATACACTTTGAGAGAATCCCACCAAATCAAATATGATGATTCAGCTCTATTCGGATCACATTCCTTGCGAGTAAGCAGCAAAGTTAGGTTGAGTTGGGTCCTTCATTTGACTTCTTGACAAATTACGTTTCAAAAATAATCTAAAAGGAATCTAACTATTTTCATTAATTTAATGGCGCTAGATGCACAATTTAGTCACGGATGTCCCGTATCTTCTTCTTTTTTATTGTCATTATTTGTGTTTTTTTAGTACTTTATGAGTATATGATCAGTGCCTGTCGTTTGGCCCCTTTGATTTTATATACGCTTCGGCTGATGAAATAATGTGGGATTTTCTGGAAGATTGATTTCCCTCATCAGTTAATAATATTTATTTCCTACGAGATTTTTATTTACAAATGGGTAAGAAAAAAAAAAGTTGAAAACTTGAATTTGCTAGCATTAATAGCAGTGACATACAAAGTAAGCAATTTCTAATATATATTGTGGACACGAGTATGGTGGCAATAAGAGTGCAGGAAAAAAAAAATAAAGAAAACATAACGATAAGGCAATTATAAGTCTTGATTCAGTTTTATTGCTTAGAAAAATCCATTTCCAAAGCAAGTCCTACCCTTCTCAAACGGATTCAAATTAACCGCATATATAGGATTCGCCTTAATGAATGGCTAAAAATTGTAGTTGCATTCTTTTTTTTTTTATGGCCAGTTCTTGATATTTTTTATGTTATTTGTATTAGTTGTTATTAGCCCTTTATATTCTAGAATCCAAAAAAAAAAATAAAAAAAAAAAAAAAAAAAAAAAAAAAAAAAAAAAAAAAACAGAGAGATTTCAGAAACTGCAAGTAATGTAATAAATAAAGCATGGGGCTCCATGAAGAAAACAATGGCTGCAACGTTTGCACAGTAACTGCGTGAACAAAAAGGCGCAGCTCATTCTGTACCCACTATTCATTGACAATGAAATTAAATTCTGGAAACAAGATATTAATTCCCAACTTTTGCTCTCAGGTTGTTTCCCACTGCATTGACAGGCCAAGGAGCGCCCCC